AGTTCGATCCCCGTTACCAATAAACAAAAAAAATTTATCATTTTAAAACTGGATTATAATCAGGCATGATACACAAATGTGGAATCCCAGCACTTTGGGAATCTAAAGCATATTGATTACAAGTTCATGCGCACCTCAGGCAACTTAGTCTCTGTTTTGAAAAAAAAATGGTGGGCCAGGGATTTAGCTCAGTGGTTCTGCTAACATACCTCGCAAGCACAAGGGCCTGAGTTCAATCCCAGGTACAAAAAAAAAAAGCTAGGGATGTGTGTATACTATAGGCCCTGGGTTCACTCCCCAGTACCATAAAGGAAAAAAAAAAGCAGCGGTGGAGTAGGTGCTCAGAAACTATATGGTTACCTTCATTAGATTGGGTGAACTTTGTAATGCATTTTTATCTTACTGTCTGTAGTGATTAAAGCCTTTAACCTGAAAGTGGCACGTGTGTTTTAGGGATGACAAGAAAGTGAAATTTGAAGGGATTGACTCTCTCTGCATACTGTATAGGGTTGTTGTTGTTTGGGGGAAGAGCAAGATATTTTAATGTGTAGTGTCATTGTCCAGTTGGTCAGTGAGTAGTGAAAAGTACTGAGAGAAGTAGAAAGCATATTGAATCCTTAAAGTTTCTATGTAAGAATATAGATTATCAGTTCATTCTTGAGAAAGACACAAGGACTGGGAAAGATTCCTTGGCTTCTGTGAGAGTAGAACATCTAAATTTGAAACCAAAGACTATTTTTATTTAGGCTCTTTTGCGCATTGTAAAGCCCCCAAAGTAAAAATAATACAACCCCCCCAAAAAAACAAAATTTCCTTGTTAGACTGCTCAGTTTTAGATAATAGGTAATTGGTGATGAAAATGTGTTCATGTGAATTCATTTAACTGTACTTAATGAGGCTTGGATACTATCTGTTTGATAGAGTGCTTGATTTCACTTCCTTAGGAGGCAACAAATGAAATGAATCTCTGATTCCTCAAACATTATGTTTTAACTAACCAGCCAAATTACAAATTACACAGATTGTTTGTCATCCTGAAATGACTAAGTAGGTTTTCATTGCTGATGTAATGGTTTTATTTCTTACAGATTTCATTCTGATTTGTGATTTATGACTATCACACGTCTATACCTGGAACTGATATATCTAACATTTGAATAATAATGGTATAGAATGTTTTTTCAGTTTTATGTTCTCATTTCAGGCACAGTGTTTGGATGAATAAAATAATATTGTGTTGACATAACTGCCAAAGGGCCTCACTTGGGTGACATTTACTGTCAGCAAACTCATCATTGTCCCACATCTTTTACTCATCTTCATCAGTTTAGAGATGTGCATTTTGTGGGTAGATAGTGTGGAAAGTAAACTTAATTGTGTCAACTTGATTGACTTTGGAGTCACCAGGGGAATTGGTAAAGCATACTTCTGGGTATGTATGGGTGGATGATGGAATTGTGACCTTGGATACTATATCTCATCCCTTACCCCTTCCTCTTTGGCATTGTTTCCCCTCTTTGTTCTCTGGTTGCCCTAAACTAAGCATCTTTGGTCTACCACACTTTCTTGCTGTGATGAGTCTGTATTTTAAACCTGTTAACCATGAACTGCATCCCCTGAAACTGAGCTAAACTAAACTTGTCTTCCTTTAAATTTCAGGTGTCAGGTATTGGGTCCCAGCAAAAGAAAGCTAACACGTATAGTAGATTCTTTGTTCCAGACCAAGATCACCCTGACCAAGATTACATACAAGAGGTTTTTGGTTTTATTCATTTGTAATGAGAAAGGTGATCCCTATCCCCTGGAACCAGAGATCAAAATTAAGGGCCTCATACATGTTAGGCAAATGCTTTGTCACTGAGATACAACCCCATCCTCTCAGAAGTGCATTCTTAAATGCTATGGATTCTCACAGGTATTGTCCTGTAAAGCATATCAAACCTAAATATGGAATCAGAACAGTGGGAATTAATTACTCTCATATTTAGTACAGTAGTTCTCAACTGAAAATATGTATCAGAATCACCTATAGAGCTTTTAAAAGTACACATTCCTGGACTCTAGAGATTCTGACTGAGCTTATATGAAGTGGGAGTTAAATGTTCATATGTACTTTTTAGTTATCTTTGGGAATTCTGATGCAGTGAACCCAAGATTGTGGCTTTCAAAGCTTCACAAATGGGTTTGATGCATTATCAGCTCATTAATAGGACTAGCCTTTGTTAGCCACCTATGTCTTTCAATATGTCAGTGGCTATGCTGCTCTTGGGGTACTCTATGCACTATGGTGCTGAGTTCTGCTATCTAAGTGTATTTTTTCCCCTACTAGTTAACTATTTAATTTAATACTTCTTTACCTAGGTTATGGTAGAATATAGATTTTTGCATACTCTACTCTCCTTGGAATTACAGGCATGTACTGCACACCAGCTTCTATTCTTTCTTAAATACCTGCAGTTTTATTGATCAAGTTTTTGACTGTCCCAAACTCTTTTCTATTGTATTTATGGATTTCCAAAGATAATTATGACCTATATAATTACCTAATGTTAACTTGATTTCCTCATATTCATGTACTTAGAGGCATATTACTGTTGTCTGGTTTACCAATAACATTAACAGAAGCAACCAGTGAAGTGGTCTATGGTTATTTTTCTTTCCTTCTTTCCTTTTTTTTTTTGGTACCAGGGATTGAACTTGGGACCTTGCTCTTGTGATGCAGGCAGCTGGACTACTGAGCTAAATTCCCAGCCCTGGTTATTCTTCTTAACAATGGGAAAACTAAGTTTTGAATAGTTTGCCTGATATGTACAATCTAAACTTCAGAACCTGAATTAGTCTTGCATATTCTGAATCATAACAGAGTTTCAGTTATCACTAATTAGCAAGTGTTCCAGGAGTAAGTCTATATCATTTATTTGTGGAAATTATACATCCATATACTTGCATGGATTTTTAGACATCTTCACTACTTCATGTGGCTGTGAAATAACCCTAGTATAACTTTTGTTATTTTTCCTTTTTTTTTTTGGATTGAACTCAGGACTTTGCTCTTGCCAGGCAGGCACGATACCATTGAGCTACATCCCAGTATAACTTTTGAATTTATAGTTTTAAATCCTTTAAACCAAGTAGAGTTTAAAGTTGTATAAATACCTTGATATAATTTGTGTTGTTGTAAAAAATTCCTAATTATCATGTGCTAGTGCTAATATATATGTTTACCCATTGATTGAATTTCATCCTTTCTTTCTTTCTTTTTTTTTTCTTTTTTTTTTTTTTTGGTGATGCCATGGATGAAACCCTAAAGCTTTGCTCCTATGAGGCAAGCACTGTACACTGGACTATGCTCCAGTTCATGTTTGGTAGACTTTTTGCTTATCTATCTTTATCAAGCCTCTATTGCTATTAAAGTGATATTTATTGAGGTATGAATCTGTTACTCCTCTGCTTACAAGTGGCTTCTCATTCTCATCAGGATATTTCTACCATAATGTACAGTATCACAACCTCTGCGACTCTTACCCTGCTTACCCTTTAACTGTATGTCCTCTCCTCTTTCATGTTTCTATTTTACAGCTTGCTACTCTTCTTAGACTTCTATTCCTCACTGTAGTTCATGTTGATGTAGTTTATATAGTCTTCAGCTGGGAGAACCTTTTTCTGAAATCTGTCTTCTTCTTGCCAGTCAGATTTCATTGCCTTTCCTCTTTGTTAACATAGAGCCTTATAATTGCACTCTTACTATAATTTTCTGTTTACTAGTCTCTCTTTGCCAGCTGCTGAACTCACTGATGACAAAGACTGTGTGTTTAGTTATATAGGGTCTTTTTTGTTCCAAATAGAATTTGTGGTTAGGCATTATCTTTGTATCTACTATGTGTGATGTCTTATCTGTATAGTACATGCCCTGTTATTCCCCCTAAATGAATTGGATTAGGGGGAAAAGAATAAATCAATTCTGATGAGTTTTCTTCCTTTTTTTTTCATTTAAAAAAATTTTGTAGGTTACTAAAAGGGATGAAGACTCTTCCCTGATGCAGCTAAAGGAGGAATTTCGGAGTTATGAGGCACTGCGCAGAGAACATGATGCCCAAATTGTTCATATTGCTATGGAAGCAGGACTTCGTATTTCACCTGAGCAATGGTCTTCACTCTTATATGGGGACTTGGCTCATAAATCACATATGCAGTCCATCATTGATAAGGTTTGTGAAATTAGAGATGCTGATTTTATACCATTGTTGTAACTTTGAAAAGTATTGCAATGTAGATGCTTTTCTATCTAAACCCCAGTAAACTTATCTATATTGAAAATGCATTTAGGGGCCGGGGATTTAGCTCAGTGGTTCCGCTGCCTGCCTTGCATGGGCAAGGACTAGAGTTGAATCCCTGGTACCGAAAAAAAAAGAAAATGCATTTAATATATTTAACCTACCAAATGCTGTAACTCAGCAATATTGTACATCATAGAGTATTGATTGTTTACCCTCATGATCCACGTGATTAAGAGCTATAGCTCAGTGTCACGCCCAGCATTTTAAGAGTATCATGTTACATATCAGTAATCAGAAAAAATCAAATTCAAATTCTGAAACACCATTTCTACTGAGTAAATTGGTTTCTAACATTGTAAGGTTAAAAAAAATCCTAAGTCAAACCATTATAAGTCATGTTTGTGTTTTAAAGAACTAAAGAGAAAAGTTGTAGATTGCCAAGTTTTTAAATATGAGACTTTAGTTTTGGTTTTTTGAGACAGGGTCTCACTGTGCAGTTCAGGCTGGTCTTGAACTCACTGAATAGTCCAGGCTGGCCTCAGTGATATGTCTGCCTCACCCTCTCAAATGCTGGGATTACAGGTGTGCACCACCATGCCCAGCCTTTTTATTACTTTTTAACTTTCAAAATAAACTAAGAGATATAACAGGGTATCAAATATATTAACATAAAAACAGACTCAAATTTATCTACATTCTGATCCCAGAGAATAAATACAGCTTATCAGTGTTTTCTAAGTGTCTGATGATGAGTTTTATAGGGCAGATTCTGAGGTGAAAATTTAATTCATCCTTGATATTCCTTCTGTGGAATCTGAAGACACTTGAAAACCTATTATATAGCTGGTCTTTTGAAAGCATTTGAATATATGTATTTCATAAAAACCAGAGTAAAAAATATTCTCTTTCTGTTTGTTAGCTGCAGTCTCCAGAATCATTTGCAAAGAGTGTCCAGGAATTGACAATTGTTTTGCAACGAACAGGTGATCCAGCTAACTTAAATAGATTGAGGCCTCATTTGGAGCTTCTTGCAAACATAGACCCTAATCCAGGTATGTGGGAAAGTGCTCACATGCTTGTACTTTGTCTCCCTTTGAGGTAAGCACCACAAAAATTACTAACACCTTTTTCTTTTATTCCATTCCTTTGATGTTTATTTTAGATGCTGTTTCACCAACTTGGGAGCAGCTAGAGAATGCAATGGTAGCTGTTAAAACAGTGGTCCATGGCCTTGTGGACTTCATACAGAATTATAGTAGAAAAGGCCATGAAGCGCCTCAGGTAGGTACATTATTCCAGTTTTGACTGCTGTTATCTCTAACAGTTTTATGCTGTACATCTTAACAACCCATTTGGTTAATAGACTTCTTTTTCTTTTTTTCCCAGTACCAGGTATCAAACTCAGGACCTTGTACTTGCAAGGCTCAGTGCCACTGAACTAAATCCTTGGCCTGGTTAATAGACTCTTTTATGTGACTCTTTACTCTCATAAGGTTGATTTGGTTTGGTTTGGTTTTATGTGATGCTAAGCATTGAAACCAAGACCATACACCTGCTAGGCAAGCACTCTTCTACTGAGCTAGGTCACCATCCCTCATAAGCTTTTATTATCTGTATTCTTTGGGAAGAAACTGTTTCTAGTGGAGCTGATGAGCATTTCATAGTACAGCAAAAGTTTAGAGGTTATCTGGATATGAGTTCCCTAAATTTCAAAATGGTTTTGACAAGAATAGCTCATTGATTCCTTCCAAATATTTGTTTCATACTATGGGAAATTGTCATATTTTTTTCCTTTATTGTTACCTCCCAAATAAATTTCTTTTTGTAAAATGTATGGAATTTGAATTTAAAAGATATTTTCATTCTTCACGAGAAGTTAAAATAGGCCCTGGAATTTAGCTCAGTGGCACTGCGCCTGCCTCACAGGTGCAAGGTCCTGAGTTTGATATGTGATTCTGAAAAAAAAAAAAAAGTTAAAATAAATGCTTCATTCTACTAATAACTTCCATTTATTAAGTTTTCAGGGGTTGGTCAGTCTGTATAATACTTTGCATAAGTTATTTCTCACAGCTGTCTGCAAGGTAGTTGCTATTTGAAAGTTGCAGTTTAAAGAGGTTAAATCACATCTAAGATTATGTTGTCAGTAACAGAGCTGGTAGTAAATCTACAAAATCGATTATCTTTTCATTAGCCATTATAATACTCAAGTATGAGCTGAATGATGTTTTCATCTTATTAAGGGTCACAGAAATAAGAATATCTAGGTTTTTAAAATTTATTTTCTTAGGGGCTGGGGATTTAGCTCAGTGGTTCTGCCGCCTGCCTTGCAAGCACAAGGGCCCCAGTTCAATACCCAGTACCAAAAAAATTTTTTTTTCTTAGATTTTGATGTAAATTATGACAGTTATTTTTTATATTCTATCTCATTATTTGTGTGAATTAAACATCTTAAGCTGAATAATTGAGTTATACCTCCAAGTTGACTAATGAATTAGTAATTTTTCACTTTTAGGTAAATTGTACTGTTTATGAGAAAGCTTAAGTGAACAAAGTTTATAGCTTTGTTTGTTTGTTTGTTTGTTTTTGAGACAGATCTCACTATGTAGTTGAGACTGACCTGGAACTCACTTTGTAGCCCAGGCTGGTCTCAAACTCACAGTGATCCTCCTGCCTCAGCCTCCTGAGTGCTGGGATTACAGGTGTGTGTCACCACGCCCAGTTTTTTTTTTT